ACATGTCCACAGGAAGAGAAAAAAGGAATAGAGCCTTATGAAGGAGGGAAGGTCAGAGATTTTGGTACTACCTGTCTCCCTTCTTCACCCACTAAGTTCCCCTCTATGGGAGCTTTTCTAGATATCTGGAGCACTGAGAATTGGGGGAATGAAAAGGAGCCCCTCAATTCTCAGTCACATCACTCAGTTACATCTCTGTTCCCTGTTCCTGCTGTACCCCACCAACACGTGAAAGTCTTATTCCCAGCACAGCTCCATTCCCTTCTGTGAGTGGCTAGAACTCACCTCCAGCTCCTCACTTTCAATTCCATCCCTCCTCCCCTCAAGAGCAGTAGTGGCCTTGGCCTCCTGGCAGAGCCTTCCTAGCCCGTTTCCATAGAAACCTGGTAGGCTATGTAGTGCAGGAAGGGGAAGGGAGATAGAAGCAGGAAAAGGGGACCAGGCCTCAGGGGCAGCCTAGATGAAGGGACAGGGGCACTTACAGGAGGTGGGAGAAGCTGGTCATCCAAACAAAGGTTGGAACCCTGATTTGGGGAGGAAAGACAAGAGGTAGCGGGCACTTGCTAGTTTCTCTCCCCATGCAATTTGCTCTGCTGCCTTCTAAGGAGAGGACAGAGAACTGCCCCTTTCCTGGTAGGAGGTGTTGGGCAGGAGCAGCCTATCCTTCCCTCCTCACCCTCTTAAGAACCCCTTTACCAGGAACTGCCTGTTCGGGATGATTCTCTTTGCAGAACCCACCAATCTCTAAGACAGGGACTATGGGATACTTTCCCTCCCCCAAGAGCTCCCCACCCTTCCCAGCCCAGCCCCGGACCCGGTGGCCGCTGCTGACCCGATGGCGTGCCGCTTTCAAAGGCCCCATTCATTTCTGGGGGCTGAAGGCGCCATTGTCCCCCGCGGGGGGTGGTGTGGGGAGTGAGGGGGTCTCGACTCAGAAGGAAGGAATGCGTCTGGAGAAGTTGCCCCCAGGGCTCCAATCTCAAAGTCCCCACCAGATCTCCATCGGGACCCTTTCATGACCCCGAGTCCTTTCCCCAGGAGCTCCCGGCAGCCTTCGGGCTTCTCCTGAGGGTGGGGACTGCCGTGGCGCTGAGGAGCCTCGCTCCACCCCTCTAAAGCGCTCAGGAGAAATGTTGCTGCAGACGGGAGCTGTCCAGCACCTCGGGTCCTGACGGACCGCTGACTCTCCTAGGTGTCATGGATACGGGGCGCTGAGGGCCACCTGGTGGCTCGAGCTCTTCCCCACCAAGGCTAAAACCACAAAGCAGACCTGACCTGGGTGGGCTTAAATACAACTCTGGACATAGGAATCCACCGGTGCTAAGAACTGACTTAGGGAGCAATCTGATCCCTGTCCTATCTGAGCAGAGTGGAAGGATCAAGTGCCACTAGGCCATTCCCCTGGTGCCCTGTCTCAGACCTGAGCAGGCAAAAGAAGCAAAGAGAAGTCAGGCCCTGCCTCTCCCCCTTTCCCCCATTTCTGCATCTCTGCTTCTGTTTCCTCCTCCCTCCTCCTCTCTTTCCCTCCCTGCTGGGTTGGGGGCTGCTGAATTATCATTTCTCAGCTCTGCTAATGTGCTCCCTGCTGCGGGGAGGGATCATAATTCTGGGAGATGATTAAGTTTCAAATTGTTTTTCTTTGTGTTGTTGAAGATGAGGTTTTAATATGGTCCCTCCTCAGTTGGAGGGCCTTACCCCGATCCCTCCTCTCTTAGTATTCTCCTCACTGATAGACCGGGTTTGGGACAATGCCCTTTGGAATCTTCTCTACATTTTTGGTGTATAGGGCGTTAGGGGAGCTGGGGGAATACAGACCTCCCCTTGACTCCAAAGGGAATACATATAGTGTAGCAGTGAGAAACACTGGATTTAAAGTCAGACAAGTCAGAATTCAAATCTTGACTCCATCACTTACTCCCTGTGTGATGGAGTTACTTAAACTGAGCCTGTTTCTTAATCTATTAAATGGGAATATTAATAATTACCTCGTGGGGGTGTTGACCAGGATTCAAAATGATAATGCATTTTAAATGCTTAGCAGAGCTTATGGTCCTCAGTAAATGTTAGTGATTATTGCCAGGTGCAGTGGCATGCACCTGTAATCCTAACAACTCAGGAAGCTAAGGCAAGATGATTGCAAGGTCAAAGCCAGCTTCAGCAACTTAGTGAGGCCCTAAGAAACTTGTTGAGACCCTCTCTCAAAATAAAAAATAAAAAGGGCCGGGGATGGGGATGTGTCTCAGTAGTTACGCACCTCTGCGTTTAAATCCCAATATGAAAAAGAAAAAAGATCAGTGATTATTATTATACATATATCATCCCCTGTGTCATTTCACCTCCCTGCTCCTCCCTGACTTTGTTCTTCAGTTCAGTAAATGTTTATGTCAGCTGTACTGTTTTCCAGGCCCTGTGCAGCTGACATGAAGTTATCTAGGAGTGAGGAAGTTGGCTTTCTTGCTAATCTATTCCTCAAAACACCTTTGGCCACTTCCTTCCTTCCTTTTAATTTAAGTTCACTCCTTTTACAACCTCCTGAATACTTCCAGGTCTTCTTTCATTATTCCCACTCCATTGTTCCTTCTTTTAAGCAGGCTTATCACTTCATCTTGATTCCTATGTTCCTAATGCACATCCATCTTTTACCTTCTATATCATTCCTCATCCCATTCGGGACTTTCAGAGAGAAAAGGGGTTGAACTTTCAAACTAGGAGAGAGAATTATTAGCCATTCTCTCTCTCTCTCTCTCTCTCTCTCTCTCTCTCTCTCTCTCTCTCTCTAACATACTTGTTATAGTCAACTTCCACATTTCTGAACTTTCACATTGTATCTGTGCACTTGTTTGCTGTCTATTCCATATCTATAGCCATAATAAACCTTTGAAATATATGCTGTTTCTTTGCCCACCTGTCTATCTGCTCTATCCTTGCCTTTATTTTTTTTGTGGGAGTCAGTAATGAGGATCAAACCCAGAAGCACTTACTACTGAGCTATATCCCCAGCATTTTTTATTTTTTATTTTGAGACAGGGTCTCACTAAGTTGCTGAGTCTGGCCTTGAACTTGCAATCCTTCTGCCTCGGCCTCCTGAGTCTTGAGGATTACAGTCATGCGCCAATGCATCCAGCCCTGCCTTTATCGTTTTTAGGGTTTTTTTTTTTTTTGTTTTGTTTTTGCTGTGGCTTTAAATATCTCAATCAATATCTCTCTCTCTCTCTCTCTCTCTCTCTCTCTCTCTCTCTCTCTCTCTCTTTCTCTCTCTCTCATACTGGAGATTGAACCACTGAGCCACATCCCAACCCTATTTTGTATTTCATTTAGAGACAGGGTCTCACTGAGCTGCTTAGTGCCTTGCTTTTGCTGAGGCTGCCTTTGAACTCATGATTCTCCTTCCTCAGCCTCCTGAGCCTCTGGGATTACAGGTATGAGCCACCATGCCCAGATTGCTTTAAATATCTTTGTTGAGATCTAAATGATATATCAAGGATCAAAAACATTTAATATGTATGATTTGAGAAGTTTGAATGTCATTGTTTTACTATGAATGAGACAGTTTACCAGTTGTAATAGACAGGCTTATTTATGATAATGTATTTTTATTTCTATTTAACTGACCCCTTACTTTTCACATACTAGTGATGGAATTTGGGACACACTATTCTAAAATACAACAGCTTGGCAAAAACAGGAACACTACTCTCCCTCTTCCCTCATGCAGGCTATAATACCTCTGACTCTCTGATTTCCTCCCTCCTTTTTTTTTTTTTTTTGTTACCCAGTATTGAACCAGAGGCACTTAACCACTGAACTACATCCCCAGCCCTTTTTGTATATTTATTAGAGACAAGGTCTCATTAAGTTGCTTCTGGCCTTGCCAATTTGCTGAGGCTGACTTTGAACTCATGATCCTACTGCCTCAGCCTCCTGAGTCACTGGGATTACAGGCCATTTTCCTCCTTTCTTCCCTGAAATAAGCCATAAGACCCTCATTCCAAAGGTGCCTTCTGTAAACATGTAGGGAAGGAATATCCTTGTTCTCAAAGACACAGAGTCAATAAGAAGAATCTGGGCAAATAGGCCTTACTAAGCTCCCCCTACTGTGTTCCAGTAGGTCATACTGCCTTGATCCGATCATACTTCTGCATGACTGTCCACCCTGCAACCAACCCAGGCAGAAAAATTACAGTTTTCCCTGTTTTTACAGGTCTTCATTTTCTTATGAAGTCTCCTGCGTCATATAAAACTGATATTAAATAAATTTGTGTGCTTTTCTCTTGTTAATCTGTCTTTTGTTATAGGGATCTTAGCTATGAACCTAGTGATAGATAAGAAATTCTTCTCTCCAAAAAGAACTCTTTTCTTTCCAACACTGTCTCCCCCCACCACTTCCTTTCTTTCTCTCCAAGGAGTCATTTTACAACTATGTGAGGGCTTGGTTCAGTGCAGACACAGATGCCACTCTAGGTATTTTAATTTTTTTTCTCAGTACTGGGGATTGACTCCAGCGGCACTCAGCCACTGAGCTACATACATCCAAGTTTAATTTAATTTAATTTTTTTTTTTTTTTGTGACAGGGTTTCACTAAGTTGCTTAGGCTGACCTAGAACTTGCGATCCTCCTGCCTTGGCTTCCTGAGTTGCTGAGATTACAGGCATGTGCTACTATGCCAGACCACTCTAGGTATTTTAAACTGAAGGGAATTTAATATAGGGAAAATGTGATTACAAAATTGTAAGTACTTGTGAAATGGACTCCCAGAAAATACACCAGGAAAGCTCATATATTTGACATGATCAGTAAGTTTAAAAAATCAAAAGGCCCCACTGGAACTATTGATTTAAAAAACACATTGCCTGATCTTTGTCAACCAGGAATTAGGAAGCGGAGACCAGCAAATTGGAATGGCTGTTACAGGGAGAACCCTCTGTCTCCAGGATCTTTCTTGCCAGCAAAAAGTCTGAAATAGGAGAAAGAAGGCCTCTTCCTCCTTTCTGTCTTCCAGTCGTACAAATGTACCTGATGGCAAAGGAATCACGGAAACGCAGACTAGCTCTCTGATCTCTGCAACACAAATGAAGAAAGTAGGAACAGAGGAAGATGCCAATTGGCCAATTCAACACCGACTTGGACCCTGTCACTTAGGAGTTTATTGCCAGTAAAGAGAAGGTAATATCAGGATCAATAGAGGTTGGAGATTTTTTTTTCCTTTTTCTTTTTTATACTGGGGATTTAACCCAAGTATTTTACCACTGAAATGCATCCCTTTTATTTATTTATTATTATTTAAAAAAAATACATTTTAGTTGTCAATGGACCTTTAGTTTATTTATTTATATGCAGTGCGGAGAATCGAACCCAGTGCCTCACACATGCCAGGCAAGCACTCTACCACTGAGCCACAACCCCAGCCCTTTATTTTTTTATTAAAAAAACACTTTGTAGTTATATATGGACAGCGTGGCTTTATTTTATTTGTTTATTTTTATGTGGTGCTAAGGATCAAACCCAGTGCCTCACACATGCTAAGTAAGTGTTCTGCCATTGAGCTACAGCCCCAATCTTGGTTTTTTGTTGTTGTTGTTGTTATTTTTTTATTTTGAGCCAAGATCTCACTAAGTTGCTTAGGGCTTCATTAATCTTCTGAGGCTGGTCTTGAACTTGTGATCCTCCTGGCTCAGCCTCTTGAGTCAGTAGGATTATAGGTATGCACCACCGCAGCCAGTTTAGGATCAATGCAAGTTGAAAAAACAAATCAGAAAGTGTCTCAGACCAAGTTCATTGTCAGGAGTCTGGTACCATCATAGATTCAAACTGATTCTAGACCTAATTTGGAGCTAGGGAGTTCAGTCTCTGAGAATGAATGGAAGAACAAAGCCACCAGAGCACTAGGGAAGGAAGAGAACAAAGACCATTTCCAGGTGTCAGATATATGATGTTCTTACTTCCTGTAAAGGGTTGTACACAATAATCCAGGGTCTTGACCATCCCAAGATCACAGGGCCCAGCTTCAGTGGCAGCTTCTCTCCTAAATTGGCTGATTTTGGTTTGTGTGGTCCTGTGTGGCTCACTTGTCATCTGCCTGAAGACCGTCATTCTTAAATGAGTCTCCACATCACCACCAGAAGAAGAGAAGCATGCAGAGGAAAGACTGAAAATGAGCCCATCTTTCAAACAGCAGGGCCAGTAGCCAGGGAGTGTTTTGCAGGGGAACATCAAGAAAGTGGGGCCTTCCTGCTGTTAATACCTGTTCTTTCCTGCAGTTCCAGATGTTTTGGCATCTCTCCTCTTCTCTGATTCCAGGAATCATGAGCCAGGTCTTGGTGGTTCCTAGACGAGGGAATAGCAGCAATCCCAAGATCCCAAATACATCCCAAATTAAAGAGCACCAGTTTATATTTGTTGAGTGAGTTTGAGAGTACAGGGACAAGGGACGGTCTGGCATCTCCTAAGGGACTTAAGTGGAATGTAGCCTATGCTTGTGGTTGAGAGCTTGGCCTCAGAGTTCTGTCCTGGCTCAGTTGCTTCCTAGTTGTGTAAACTCAGTCAATCACTTATTCTTTTTGAGTTTCTTCCCCATTTGTAAAAAGGGGATAAGAGTATACTTACTTCCCAAGATGGTTGAAAAGATTAGTTAAGATAATTGTATTTAAATAGGTATAAAGTACTTGCCCAGTGCCTGGCATATAGTAAGCTTTTAATAAATGGTAGCTGTTAGTGTTTTTGTAATAATTATCAATACTCTACGACCTCAGAAACAAACCAAAAAATGTGAAAAGGGGATTTCTTCACATAAGTCTTGGTCTAGAACTATAAGCTCTCTGTTGTATTCTGGAAAAGTGGGGAGCTAGACTAGGCCAGAATGCCCCTCAAGCCTCTTCCCTTCAGCTAAGAAGCTTCTGCTTCCTTAAATTCTATTGCAGTCCCTTGTAGTTCCATTGGACATCTTAATAGGCCCCATGCAGGGTGACATGGGAAATACAGATTATTTGAAGGCCTATGATCAGAGGGTTTGGAATCATCTGTTCTGACTTTTTTGTGACCCTTTCCCTCTTTCTCTGTTCTTTCCCCAAATGCTCCAACTTCATATAAATTTTATTGACTGTCTACTGTATCAGGCACTGTGCTAGCTCTGGGAGTGAAGAATGCAGAGAAAGGTAACCAACTGAGCTGTCCATTCACCAAAGCCACAGACTATAGGAACATAACCACACTAATAATAATTTAAACAGTTATAATAGGTGCATCCAAGGAAAACACTAGGGAGTAATGAGAGTGGAAAACAGGAGGACTAACCTTCCTTTCTGAATCAGGGGTGCAGAGTGGGCAGAGAAGGCTGTACCAGACCTGAAGAATGTGAAAGAGTCAGCCAGCCAAGGAGAAGGAAATTCCCTGGGCAGAAGTGAGTTCCTGCCAAAATGTTAGATGATAACTTTATGGTGTATTGTCTTGACCAGAGGTATTTGAGTCTCAACTGGGGACTCCCAAAGGAATAAATATTTAATGGTGGGATTTTTGTGAGGCATGTGACCAGCTGATAGAATCAAGAGGCCTTCTCATCAGCCTTCCAAATAAACCATGTGGCTAGGAGGTCTATCTCTGGATATGTGAGGTGTGTGTGTGTGTGTGTGTGTGTGTGTGTGTGAGTGTGTGTGTGTGTGTGTGTGTACACACGCGTGCATGTGTGAGTGTGAAGGAATATGAATGCATATTCATAACTGAACATCAGTGCACATGTGCTTGGATAAATGTAGAGCTCTAGTTAATAATTTTGGCAATTGGGCCAAGCAGCAGAAGTATCTTGAAATTCAGTAACACAGTCAGGCATGGTGGCACATGCCTAGAATTCTAACAACTTGGGAGGCCAAATCAGGAGGATTGCAAGTTCAAAGGCAATCTCAGCAATTTAGTGAGACCCTGTCTCAAAATAAAAAAGAAAAAGAACTCAGGATGTAGATCAGTGGTAGAGTGGCCTGTTTAATTCCCAATAACTCAAAAAATAAAATAAAAAAGAAATTCAGTAACATGCCAGCTCACGGGAAATTTGGAGGAGATCAAAGAAGAAAGACTAGTCTCCTATATGCACACAGGAGCCTCCAGAAGTTGGGTTCCTTATCCTTGCCCTGGGACATCCCGGGCCAATCTTTTTTTTTTTTTTTTTGGGGGGGGGGGTTCTGGGGATCAAGCCAAGGGCCTGTGCATGCAAGGCAAGCACTCTACCAACTAAGCTATATCCCCAGTACCAGGCCAGTCATTTCTGCTAAGTGTCGCTAGCAAACTAGCCAGGACTTCTAGAGAAGCATTGGTGTTGATGGTAAGGGGAGGAGAAGGCTTTAAAATTTGCACAGTGTATTGGAAAATCGTTCTCTAGAAAGTTGGCTCCCTTTGTATTTTTGTTGCAGGGCTCCTGTTGATTGTAACTTCATTAAGACTCTGAATGTATACAAGCGCACATGTGTGTATGCACGCTGATAGTGTGTGCTTGTGTGTATATGAATAGGTGTTTGGGAGTACAGTGTGAATTATGATAACTAAAGAGCTCTGTGAGTTAGGGGCCTGCACCAGCTTTTCCCAGCTCTCTCACAGGTTGGGCCCTCCCACCATACCTATCTGTGTTGCTCTCATGAGAAGCAGAGGCTGGGATGATCTGCCCATCAGAGTGAGTCCCTTCATATTAACAACAGACTGAAAATGTACTGACTATAACAAGACAAACAGAAATAATATGCTCACAGTCACCTCTGTTCCATAAAGCGAGTGGAACCTGGGCCTGTTGCAGTGAATGAGCTTCAATAATTCATCCCAACTGCCAATGTGGTATTGACATAAAGCTAATTTAACACTGGGGGAGCCAGGGGAAGTAAAGAGCAATTATGCCTTCACCTGCCGCATGGTCATTCTGCTAGCTCTTTGGTGTTGTGCCGGAAAGCTGAATCCCACCGAAGGAAGAGATCTGGAGAGGTCACTAGGCCCCTTCCCTCCTTGAAGGCAGTTGACTTTCTGAAGTTGTATTCTATCTTCTTGATAATTTTTTTTGAGCCCCATCCCCAGACCTTTTCTTATTCTTTATTTTGAGACAGGGTCTTACTAAGTTACTTAGGGCCTCACTGTGTTGCTGAGGCTGGCTTTGAACTTGCAATCTTCCTGTCTCAGCCTCCTGAGCCACCCACAGTGCCCAGCCCTGATTATATTCTTAAATAGAGACTTCACCACCCCTGTCTCTGCATCTGACCTTCTCAAGAGTCAAAGAGATGTTTCTTTTTTTTTTTTTTT